AAAACAGCAGATCTTGCAAGCGAGGTACTCGTTTTTTTGTTCAAAGGCATCAATGAGGACATACAGATACCAGTTGCTTACTATTTCATTGCTTCTTCGGAGTCCAAAGATAAAACTATTCTGTTGAAAAAAGTCATTGAGTCTATTCTGAATTGTGGTGTTATACTGACAAGCGTTACATTTGATGGACATAAATCGAACCCGAAAACATGTGAAATCTTTGGTGCTGAATTGGAGGTATTTTCACCCAAATTTAATCCGTCATTTGTGATGGGTGGATGCAAGATAAGAGCTATATACGACCCAAGCCACGTGATCAAATTAGTCCGGTCAACGCTTGGATCTAACAAACGTCTCTACGATTCCGACAAAAATGCAATCGATTGGGAATATTTCAAGCGTCTGGTACGTTTCAAAGAACAACGGAACATGGGCCCATTGACCAAAATAACCCAGGCTCATATAAATTACGAATCAAAACCAATGAAGGTTAGGTATGCTGTTGAACTTTTAAGCCGCACAAATGCAGATTTGATGGAACATTTAATGAATCAAGGTCATCGTGAATTTAAAGGTGCAATGCCGACAATTAAGTTCATAAGAATTTTCAACGATTTGTTCGACGTTTTTAATTCAACATCCGATTCAAAAGAAAATATACTTAAAAAGACGATGAGTTTTATAAATACTCCCGCAATCATGGAACTCTTCGAAAATGCAACTAAATATATCAAAGGTTTACATATTCGTAGCAAAGCTGGAAGACTTGTTCCGTTATGCACATCCTCTTTCAAAACCGGATTTCAAGGTTCTATCATCAATATGCATAACTTGTTGGATATGTACAATGAGCTGGTGATCGAAAAAGAAAGTATTCCATCCATCGCAACTCACAAACTGTCCCAAGATCATCTCGAAAACATGTTTGGAAAAATTCGGTCACTTTGTGGCAGCAATACTAATCCCAACTGTCAACAATTCAATGCCGCATTGAATAAGCTACTAGCAAACACTGCTATTCAGAACTCAAATGAAGGTAACTGTACGATTTTGGAACAAGTCCAAGTGTATAATCCCTTTTCAAACATTTCTAAGATAACTTCGCGGCGTTTCAAATCGGAAAAAAACAACAATGATAATTATACTCCAGAAGAAATAGAAATCGTTTTGCAAGAGTTATCAGAAATCCAGGGATCTGCACGCACAAATCAATTGGCTGACCTTAGCGATCTAACCACAGCCCATATCTCCGGCGTTATCGAAAGCCGCATTGAAACGACTGATAAGTTTCCTGATAATTGTGGATTATGCAAGAACGTTTTTGCAATGAATGAAAAAATTCCCACTGCGTTTATGGATCCGATCAGTACTAGAATGGTCTGTCGAAGCACATACGACATTTGCAAAGCGGCCGACCATATATTAAAAATTGATATATTGAAAGGTCAATTTGAGCCAGACCTCATATATCAGACGATTTTTTCGAGTTTGGACCTTGACAACATATATCAAGATTTAGGTTGGGAAAACCATGCTGATCACAAATCGCAATTGGTGGAATCTATTTTGCATCAATATATTCGAATTAAATGCAATTATATAGCAAGAAAAGTTTCGTTTGATGTTCGTGGAAAACAGAAGTCTAAACATGGTTATAAATATAAATAAATGTACAAAGAAAGCAATAATATTGAAATCGAAAACGATTAATAAAATGAACTAGGCTCGCCCGTGGTCAAAATTTGACCACACAAACAAAAAAATTACTATTAATATTTTATATAATTAATTATTAATACTCTCACAATTCGAAGTAGGCAAACCGTCAGAAGTAGTACGGCAAAATAACAAATTGCCGAAGTAATTTTTTCATTGGAGGTAAAATGTTGAATTACCATCAATGAATTTTTTTTGATGGCTAGAATGCGAGAATGTGATTAATTTCAACTGACGCTGTTGTACCCTTTGAATGTGGCTATTCCTTGCACACACTTCGTTTGGTTGCGTTCATTGTGTGTGATCACTTTGGTATGCGGAAACACGATTGTGCATGAAACATTCAGTGTGATGACAACCGATTGTCAAAAAATGAAAACAACATCAGAAATCTTTGCAAATCGTATCGTGTAATAGCCGAAGAAGGCTAAATAACAAATTCAAAAAGCCTTTTTTTCGTGTTGCAAAGATGATTCGAGATGATTGTTGTTAAGAATTCAATGTTTTGTGCCATTCGGAATTTAGATTCAATTCACTGTTTACTGCTGCAACACATTTGATGAAAATTTGATGAAACTAATCAAAAAGATTTATTTCTCACTAATTATACGTGTTTGGTGTGTTTTATCACTCTTCAAATGCCCTGTTAGCGGCTTTTATCCACTGAATTTAAATTTACCTACCGAATAAAAACATTGATGGTAATTCAACATTTTACTTTACCTCCAATGAAAAAATTACTTCGGCAATTTGTTATTTTGCCGTACTACTTCTGACGGTTTGCCTACTTCGAATTGTGAGAGTAGTTTCGCCAATTTCTCTTTCCCTCCACACAAAACATTCGACTCTTTCAATCATGTATATCTGTGCACGCACACAAAGGAAAGTAAAAAATTCATCCATTCCTTTCATACATATGCTATAAAATGCCGTGCAATTCACAGGAATAGTAATGACTTTGTGTGAAACACTGACGTCACACAATAAATAGAAACGATAGCGATGTAGAAAATGCGAAATGAAAAAAAATGTCGGAGATGGATGCTTCTCTTTGTGATTCATAGTGTTTACGAATGTATCACAGAGAACATTCGTGTGCAGCTCAAAACATTGTCTCTCTGTTTAGTCTGTATATCTGCGCACGCACACAAAGAGGAGCAAAAAACGTTATTCATTGCAGTGCACACAAATCGAACTCTTTCTCAATACTCTCTCTCATTCGACTGTCTCAACAGTTTATATGCTGTACATTTCAGCGACCAAACTGAACATTGTATATATCACTGCTGACAAAGTGTCAAGAGCAAATAAACAAAAAACGAAAACAAACAACGAAAGAATATTGCGAATTTCACGGCGAATATTTCAGAAAATAAATGGTGAAATTATTCAGTGAGTATGGAAACAAATTAATATTTCCTTCAAAAAATCGAAAAATATGAAGTCATTTTTTTCGTTGTTCGTATCACGTGTTTTATTCACTTGTTAGACACGATGCAACGACCGATTGGAATTGTGTGAAAGAAATACGGTGTTTCCACTCGATTCACCAGCTACGTATTTTCAATCACAGACATGGACAAATGGGAGAGTGATGAACGCAAACTGATCGATGAAATGGAAAAACGAATCATTTTTCTCAAATTCACGGTCCGTGTTGCACCACTGTTGACACAACAACAAAATGAATTGGAAGTGCTTGCGCTGACAGAGCAAATGAGGGTTCCTTGCCACGTTGCTGCTATCACAATTGCCACGTTGCTGTTACACGACTGTCAAGAAGAGAAATGGTGGAATTTCTACAATGCGTATTGGGTGATTTGGATCACATCATCGACTTTTGGCTCCCATAGTCGCGCATTAATATTTCAAAATGAAACATCACAAAAAGTGAAATTATAATTCTTATTATTTCAATAAAAAAAACCATTCCATTTCCCAGACAAAACACATACATTATTTCCACTCAATTCCATAATTTTCTCATTCTTTTACACACTGTATCTCTATTTACGGCTCAATGAGATGCATGTATTTGTTGTGGTTTTAAGTTTCGCTTTGTTCTATCTCCGCTCTTCTACATCACAGCACAACCACACAACAGCAAAACGAACAGCCGAACAAATAAACATGTACAGACATGTCTACTGTGTAATGCTGTTCTGCTATGCTACCGCATTCATTCTATAAGCATTTGGACCCACGAATATATAACGGCAGTGTGGCCGTATGGATAACGCATACGTTGAAATCAAAAGGTCTGAGGTTCGGAACACAGCTTAGGGAGTGGCGGGTGGAAGTTTTTTTTCCCTTTTTTCCAATAAATTATTAAATAATAACAAAATTTAATTTTTTTTTCATAGAAAAACACCACAAAAAAATTTTCTTCAACAAAATTACAAAAGAATCAATCATTTCAGCGTATACAACCGCAAAAACATAGATTCCATTGAATTTCATTTTCAAAATAAAAAAAAACACAATTAAACCATTTTAAATAATGAAAAAACAATTTAACATGAAAATATACACAAAATAGCAATACTCATTCAAAATAAACATAAAAAAATTAAAAATTAAAGAAAAAACAAGTTTTCGACCACATAATAAATCGAACCCGAGACCCTCAGAACAACACGCAAAAGACTCTCCCAAACGGTCACACCGTTCATACATACAGTACAGCTCAAACAGCACTTGACTTATGCTGTATGCGTAGAACGATCATTTCATTATTTTTTCACAAAATAGCAACTTCCACTCAACTGATTTGAACGACATGAGTACCATTCGAAAGATAATCACGCGTAGATGCGATTAAAGCAAAAAACACTCACATACGACACATACAACCGGAGTTATGGCCGTTTGAGTGAATTCCCATATATTTTATATGGGGAAAACTCATCACCACTCAAACGGCCATAACTCATGTCACAAATGTCAAAAGTGAGTGTTTTATGGTTTTGTGCACATCTACGCTCGGAGACCTTTCGAATGGTACCTATGCCATCCAAATCGGTTGGACATAAGTTGGTCAAAAGTGTACCACCAACTTCGCATTTGTAGATTAATATATAGATAACCAAAACAATTGAACATTTTTACAATGTTGATGGAATAAACACAAACCAAAAATAAATAATAAACTCCAATAGTTACAAGAATAAAAATAACCAAGCATTTCAATTTCAAAATATGAATATTATATTCGAAATTAGATTTTTAATACTGAAAATTCGGCCTTAAAGTATTTAAAAATAATTTTAAATTCGGAATTTTTAATTTTCAATAATTGGTATTTGTTTCATTTAATACTTTTGATCACTATGGTCTATGTCAAAATGTGTTGAAATCTTAAGAAGAGTTTGAAATTGAGCTAATTTGTATTTGGTTCATTTTAACGGAATTCTTGGAGGCAGTTTTCGTCCATGCCACAACAGAGCTCCTTTCGAACAGATCACGAAACGATTGTGTTAATATATTTATTATTATCGTTTGAATTATATAGATTTTTGTGTGTGTGTGTTGATGTTGCTTTGATTTGAATGCATCAAAATTCGTGTACAGGCAGAAAATTAAAAAAAAGAACATTAACCAATCAAACAAATACTTTAATATATCTAAATCGTACGTAGTAGTTTTTTTTCATTTTTTTTATGCTAAATTTAACCTTATTAGATGAATATTTTTTGAAAACGGTTTGTTTTGTTGCGGTTTTTCTGTAGAGTGTTGTGGTTCGCCGATGCTGTGTTGTGATCGCAATGGAAATTGTCGCTGGCTTTTTTTCTTTCGGTCACACTGAGTGTTTTCTGCATCATTTTTGGGCGATTTCAATTTATTTCTCTAAATTTTTTAATTTAACTTAACACATAAAAATGCGTGTGTAAATTAACTGCACTCAAATTCTGTTCTGCAATTGTATTAAAAATAAATTTTCCCTTCGCAGTGTAAAGTTTGGACGTTTATTTCTCACTTTTTTTTGTTTCTTTGTATAATGAACAACAAAAGAAGACATAGTTTCAAAGGAAATTATGAAGATATTTTGTTCTTGCTCTCGTAAAATACATTTTTCTTTGCATAAATAAATGAAGCTCTTTAATTCGCTAAAACGGATGCGTTATGAAAAAAAAAACGGACAGAAAAAACATAATAAAATTGATGGAAAGAAGTAATAGGAAAAATAGAACAAATTATAACTCGAATAATGTAATTAAAATTGCGATAATCATATTTGTATAGGAATCAAATGGTTTCTCTTTTTTTCTTCGATTGTTCCTTTTTTGTTTTAATTTGCTTTCAAATTAATTTGGAGTTGTTGATTTTGTTTTGCTACATTAACAATATTTTTTGCGTACTTTTTTATTTGTTTATTTTAATTCATAAAAATTCTAAAGCTGGATCGCAACGCAAGGCCCATGTTTTTTTTGTGTTTGTTTAAAGTTTTCTTTAAGACAGCAAATATCATAGATTTTTATGTTTGTTTTTTTTTGTAAATTTGTCTGTAATTGAGTGTGTCTGTGTAAAATGTTGTGTGCTCGAGGACGATGAATTTGAAAAGTTTGTTTAACTGAAAATGACAAAAAAGAGAAATTTTTTGGAATCGGTCAAAAATAATTCGCTGGGCAGTAGAGTGCATTTTTTATAACTTAATTAATTTTGAATACGTAAATAAAATCGTTTTTTGTTTTGTTTTTAAGCAAATCAACTTTTAAACACCAATCTAAAATACAAATACACTTTTTGTACGAACTGAACAGAAAAAAACGGAAACACATTGGCAGAAAACGTCTTAAATTAAACAAATAAACCAAAAAAAGAAACAAACTGTCACCAAAAATTCAACGTAATTTTTAACCACATTTCCGTGTCTGTGTGTGAGCATATGTGTTTCTGTGCAGTTGTTTTGTGAGTCTACTGTTTGTCGGTAGGAACAAGTTTTGTTTTCATCATTTTTCGTGTTATTTGAGTTTAAAATTGTTAATAAATTTCTTTACATCGAATTATTAAACTACAGGCAAATTGAAAGGAAAAAGAATAATCAGCGCTTTCATGCAGAAAAAGGGAAAATTATTGCCACATCCATTTCCATCTGGTTGTTTGACTTAATTCATGCTCATTAAATATTAACTGCAAAAGATAAATGTAAGCTTGCCCAAAAGAAAATAAAGTTTTCAATACTCTTGCCACCGCTCGCAACCATGCAAACTAACTCAGCATGCGATTTTGCATCTTTTGCAAAGAACAAACTGTCAACATCATTACTAATGAACAAAACCCTTTAATTTAATGCTTCCCTGTTTCCATTACTACAACTCCCGGCTTGGATTCTTATTTCGCCCATTTTCTCATCAGCCAAATGGTTTTCACATTGAGTTTCAATTTGACTATTCAGTTTAGCTTGAAATCTTAAGACGAAATAAAGCCACCAATAACATGAATGGTTGACATTTTGTTCTCTTTGATCCGAAATAAAAAAAAACTAATAAGTGTTCTTAATGCGAATTTAACTCTAGTAATATATTCACTACATTGATAATACAGAAAGACGAAAGAACGTAAATATTGTTAAAAGGAACCGAAAAGATAAAATCAGGCACTCGAAACTGGGCAATTTAGAAGACAATAGACAAAAAATTAAACAAAAACCGTGCTTAAGCTAATTACGATCATCATGCCATATATGCAACAACAGTGTTTTGTATTTTGTCACTGTTTTTTTTTCTTTTGGCTTTGTTAATTTTTTCTTCTTTTTATCCACAAATAAATCTAGTGACTCGTGAGAGTGTCGGTGTGTGATGTTTACTTTGACAAGCACATTGTTTTTTAATTTAATTCATTGTTTTGTTTAAAGAATTGTTTGCTTGTAGAAATAATGCAATATAGAAATGCAAAAGTGAAAATTGGCTGGTTTGCTTGGTTTCTTTTTTTTAAATTGGGATATTTACTTTTTCTTCAGCGTAAAGAATGATTTCTTTTTGGTCTCATCTTTTTGCTGTGATGATGCGGGCAATGTCTGTGAACGGCTTTCGCTTCCCGATGCGGTTTGACATTGTACCTTCAATGCGCTGACCCACTGCTGTAATTCGGCATCATCGTGCGCTTGTAACAAAAATTCGCTGCCATTGACAAACCTACGGAGAGGACATTTTAGTTAGGACAATTCATATCGAATGATTTTCTCCTGATTTTTTTCGAATTCATTTTTTTTTTAGAAAATCTTCTTTGAATGTAATTTCTGTATATAAAATCTTCAATAACAAAATCACATCAGACACCATACTCACTTTATTCTGAACACATGTTTTCGTTTCTTATAGTCATTGGCTACATCAACGCTTGCGCCATCCAATATTAATGGTAGTTCGCCGCGGAACGTTGCTTCTGGCAAAACCTTTGATGCTTTCTGATCTTTGAAGAACGTTAACCGGGAGTTACGAGCCACAATATAAACCTTATTGAAACAATTTAAATTAAATTTTCGTCTCTTTCCAAAAAGAATGATCGAGTTTGTGGTAGTTTTGTACTCACCTTATCCCATGAACGGTTAGCTGCTTTCTTGGTCGTACTTTCCCAATCGTGTTTGCGAACTAAAACACCTTCAACGCCACTAGCATCACCTTGGGCACCTAATCGTTGCGTACAAATGCAATACATTAGAAATCAAATCAACGTTAAATTTCAGAGCGTGGAAAAAAAGACTTAAATCTGCGCAAATGTAATAAAAAATTGAAAATCAAAATCGAAAAATATGCAATAAAAAAGCGGAATTATGGATTGGATAATTTCCACTTGAAAAATTGGAAGATTCATTGATAAAATGAGAATCGAAACTGTGTTTTTTTTGTATTTATATAGAAATGGTCCCCGTTTTTGGTTGGTGTTTTGTTCATAAAGCTGCAAAAAGAAACCTTAAAAAAATTGATTTTGATTGGGAGATTGAAAATTGTTGGCGATAAACAGTGAAAAGTAGGCGAATGCAACTTTGCATGCAATTAGATAAACGTCTACAGCCACTAGGAAATACGATTTGTTATTGAACATATCATGTATGATTGATTCAATTGGAGTGAACTTATAAATATTCGACGTATGTTTGATTGAACCAATGTGTGAATGAGGTGTGTCAAATACAAGGCAATGAAGTCTTGTAGATCGTTTTGATATGGTATTTTATATTTTAAATATCTTTGTCCCCCATAAAACATTTTGCTATCCTTAAAAATGACGCAGAGTTTACGGTAGTAAATGTGGTTTGTTTGTTTGTTTGGTTGATGCTTTTGTTTGTGTTACCTTCTTCATCGTACTCAAGCTCAATGTTGCGTGAAGTGCCGCGTTTCCACCTGAAACTACGGAATGGACTTTTTGATCGTTCACCAGAACGGCGGACAATTTTCAATGAACCACCACTACCCGGTGTTCGTGAAGATGATCCCGATGCAAATGGAGTTGAACGTCTCGATTCGAATCCACCCTCTAATGATTTTTTTTATTTTGTGAATGTGTTTTGGTTGTTTGAAATGTTTTTTTTTGTTTCAACCATTCGATAAAGGTGTAAATTTTTATCGTTTTTGAACATCAAGCAAAAATGTTGGTGAATTTGCAAAAAGAACGTTTTCATTAGATGAAAAATTTATGGTCGATAATAATTTGTTGTTGTTGTTGTTGGATGAATAGATCAATGGATTATTCAATGAGCACTGACAGATCCCGTCAACCAATATGAATGAAATTAGTTTGACTAAATGTTATGCGTCTAGCTTGAGTAAGATTTTATGTGCAATTGCACACATATAAAATGTGCACGTCGTTATTCTATAGGTGAATTATTATGTTTATGCCAAAAATGGAAGAACATTCCCATTATATTTGCTTAAAATTACTGTTTAACCCACACCAAACAATTTGTAAATGAGATCTTTATATCTTGAATAATTCACATTTTTTTTATCAAAATCAATATAAGGCTACAAATATTGGAATTGGTTTGAGAAACAATAACAATCAACAGAACATCACAACGTTGGTTGTCAGTAAAGCTGTCAACGCTGAATGTCGGTTAAGCTTATGACTCAACTGACGGGTGGCGCCACCGCCTACGTCTTCTGTCGTTCGGCCGTGTCATAATCAATGTCCAGTTTTTCTTTTCCATTATATTAGCCAGAAAAAATTGTTTACAGGTGGCCGAATACTTTTTTGACTGACTGTAAATCAGGTGATACATCAGATATTTTACACATTTACATCATTTCTACAATTTCTAAATTTTTTGAAAAGATAATGTATAATCATATCAATGAACAAATAAATGTCAAATCGACTGTGACCAATCTAGCAGAATATGTGAATTACATGTCAACAAATATGCCAGGTGGCGGACAGATAGACTGTGAAGTCCCCAAAGATATAAAGAAAATTTTGTCATTTTGTGGTTATGATAGTGAATTAGCTCTAACTACGCTCAATGAACAAAAAGTCCAAGATTTGGAATATTTCGTAGAACAAAATAGAGAGACAGCAATTACAAAAAAAATAAAACTTTCCGAAAACTTTCGATTTCAATTTAGTCCCGGTCAACGATCGATACTATTAAATTTACCAGTGAAATTTAAAAGTTTTATTGAACAAAGAAAGACAAATCAAAATACAAATAGCAGTGCTAGTAGTAATAAACCCACGCAAAAATTGATAAAAAACCCGAAAACCGAATTGGAAATAAAAGAAGAACTTCTTAGAAAACTGGAATGTTTTACGAAAAAGTTGAAATTTTCGGTTAAATTCTCACTGGATGACATTACAAATTATAATATTAATAGCGGCGTGCACACGTGCAGAATTAAGTGCCCGTTTTGCGACAAGCGATATTTAGTCAAGTACACAACATTTTGGGCTGTGAGTAATACTGAAGCTCATATAAAAAAACATACTATCGAAATCAGAACTAACCTAAGAACCAATACCAGCGATTCATCTCTAGCTTCAACTTCACGAGAACTCAACGTGCATCCTGGCGTGAATCCTACCGCTGGTCCTACCGTAAATCGCGTTGATGCCGATGCTCTTGAGGAACTTAATAATATTTTATATCAAATAAACCAACAAGAATAGCGCTAGGAATAGCTGAAGTATATTGCCAAAATGTTCTACGTAGTTTATATTATGCCTAATATCGCGCAAGATGGAGCCTTTGCGGTAATCCCAGAAAATTGGATTCGAAATTTTGACGAACAAATGGAAAAGTTTTTAAACAACGGTTTGAATACAAATCAAAAGCATGTCTGCTTTTGGACTGATTCCATCAGTGCAAGAAACGTAAATGGCGTCATACAGCTAGATTTCGAACCAAATTGGAATGTTGGTTTCAGTAATATATTTCCAGCGGAGGGGCTTTATATCTGCAAGATCATCAAAGCTAAAGGTAATTTTTAATATTTTGATGAATATTTATAAGTTTTCAATTATTTTCATTTGTCAAATTACATGTTTTAGCCAATTTCGTTGAAGCTGTACTTGCATGCAACAGGAAACGTTCCCCTCCAGCAATATATAACCCGAATCGAACATTTGAACGGCCGGTGCCACAAGTGCCGAAGAATTTGACCACCGCAGATCGTACTAGACAATCTAGTAGACAATATAATTTAGGTAATTGTACATATCTCTTTTAATTTTTCGGTCGATTTTCTTTGGCATATGAAACTGAACTGAAGTTGAGTTACGTCTAGCGCCTATATTCACAAATTGTCAATTGACTCTTGACTGTTAGCTTGTCTGCTAGCTTGTCTGACCTTACTTATTATGCTTTTTTGTCAACTTCACTCTAATTTTTTTCTTTCTAGCACACACGCATTCACCCAGTCATTCACGCGTTCATCTTGTGAGAACAAGCAGTCTAGGAAGCAGTTTACCAATAATATCTGGAAAAGCTGCACAAACATCTGTATCAACGCATCATCTCGTTTAGCAGCTATTAGAGCAACTCGCCATTCAGTGCCTTGTCTAGTGCCTTGTATCAATCCATCTGCCAGTCCAACTACACTAGCATCTACAGGTATCGCGCATAGTACATTTGATCTAGCATTTGATTTTGTTTCCAATTTTGTTCACATTACAGTCATAAAAGAATTTATCGTCGCTTCAGAAAGTAACATTCTTATTATTTTCTAGCCGTTTCAGGAAGTACAGTGCAAAGTTCACTAGAAAGTTCAATGCAAACAAATGAACAAAGTTGTACATCAAATGAAAACATCCTGGCAAACACTAGGGCAAACATCACTAGAAACATCAGTCATTCAACCGAAGGTATCTTTCGTTTTATTTGATTTTTTCTATCGCAGCTTTGAAAAAAAATGCTTGAAAAAATGATGCAGTCTAGGATGCAGTCATAATGAATATTTTCAATATTTTGAACTTGTTTCAGACCCAAATTCAGACTCAGATGAAGTAGCATTTGAACAACCAATACAAAGTATAACACAACTAGCAACACAAAGCCGTGCACAAAGTCATACCCATGTTTTGCAACAAGCAACACAATCATTAACACAATCAAGTGAACCCAGAAGTGAACACATTGCTCATTTTCCTCCAAGTAGCTCTCAGCATGACATATCTGAATCTACATCTGGATTAAAATCTGAGAATCTGTCATCATCATTGCATGGGTTTTATAATAGCAATGCCACTGAAATTGCATCATTGCTTAGCACATCACAGCTAGCATCACAGACTAGACCACAGACTGTTGCACAGATCTATGTATATGAAGACATGGAAATGTCTTTTGTCCAATTTCCGATGCCATTGCCCCTTTCTCCATCAGAACCAGTTCTCCATAAGAGAGAAAATGATGCCTTTTCAGGGGACATGGCGTTTGGTGAAAATGTAGGAATTTTTGAACAAAATATATTTGAAATTTCTAAATACAGAAAAATGGACGTATTTACTTGGTCGGAAAAGAATTTTTTGAAATTCAACACTCGGTAATCCGACAACTCATAGAATGGAATACGAATGCACCAGAGAATATCAGCGCAGATGTGGACAGACGATATGTTCAAGCGATTCTATTAATTCTGTTGTCAAAAGAACAGCTTGCAAACGATGCTATTCCAGTTTATGTCTTAGATTTTGTCAAACGTAAGGCAATTCAAATTTTTGCTTTCTCCGCTCTTATTTTATTTCTAATATTTTTAATCACACTGAATAACATTTCACAATTGGCGTGAATTACTCTTTCCAGGTATTATGGCTCCATAGAGTAAACGGTGACCATTTGCGGGCTTGTGCAATGCAAAATTACATCACCGAATTTTGTCGCCAAAAAAGGAAGGAATCGCATCTGCTGGATGAACCATGAGCTAGACAACGAGATGAGCCATCTAAACCATAGTTAAAACATTAGAATCTAGTTCAGAATGATTACAAAATAACTAGCAAAATAAGTTGTCTTTTACTAGGTCTTTTAAGCTGCCTATATCTGTGAATTTCAATATGAAAAATAGTATTATAAAAGACTGATCACAATTCAACTAGTAATTCAAAATGTTGCCGTATTTTCACGATGTGAGACTTGGATATATATTTTTTTCCGAAAGGAGTTCAAACTATAGTTCAAAACCATTGCAATATTCGAGCTGTAATGTACATAAAGAGGTTAATTCAAGGTTTAATATAGAAGAATTTATTAATTTCCAAAAGGTGTTCAAAACGAATTAAGTCTGAATGATAGTCCTAATGATAGTCGTATTCTATTGAAATGTTTATTTGAGTTTAACATATTTTCTATCATATTTTATTTTGTACAAACAAATTTCAATAGTGTGCTCAACTAGCTGAAAGATAATGTGTCGAATGACAATATTCTAGACAATATTTATACAAATTTTTTGCTATATTTTTAGTATTTTTCCTTTTCATATTTAAATATTAAATACGTTCAATAGGCTCAAACTAGAGCTGAAACTGCAATATTCCTAGCAATATTCGGGAATCAAATTGTCTCTTGCATTTGTTTCAATTAGCTAGTCAATTAGATTTTTGTGATGAGTTCATGTTTGCCCTAGTGTTTCCCATGTCGTTTCGAGATCATTCGAAATTATTATACAATGGCCTTATCTCAAAGATTCGGAATGAACTAGGGAATGAAATGCTAGATGAAATGGTATCACGATGTGACGATGTGATAAACTAGGTGATAAACAACCTAGTAAGCAACATAACATAAACAAACGTTAGAACAAACGACCGCGACGCTAGCCGTGGCGGCTTCAGTGTAGTGAACGAGTCAATATGTATAAAATGATTAATAGCCAAGATGTTCTGTTTTCATTACACTTCGATTTTTGTTAAGTTTCATGATCTTTCTACATCGTTTTGGTTCTGGAACAAATAAACTAGCAAATAAATATTCGAACATATTGAAAAATTTCTAGAAAAATTTACCTTATGTGTATAGAGTAAGTAAGAAATTACCTAGGAAACTACTAGCGAAACTAAACACTGGACTAAACAAGGAAATAAAAATATTTTCATTCAAGTTTACATATTCTTTTAGATATTCTCTCGTTATCTTGAATAAGCAGCGCTAGCAGCGAGTGCGTATTTGTGAATTTTTTACTAGATTTTTTACACATGACACTTAAATACGAAATGCATTTAAATACGGAATGATTTAAATACGGAATGATTTAAATACGAAATGATTTAAATACGGAATGAAACATGTACTTAGTTCAGAGTATACTAGAGAGTATACTGGCCACTAGCCTAGCCACTAGTTAGACATTATATGCATAGTTATACTAATAGTTTTTAAATAGTAATTACAGTTGGCATATAACTGTAATTAGCTCGGTATCGTTAAATCCTAGGTTAAATCTAGCGTTAAATACGTAATGTTTACTCGAGTGACATATCTAGTGACATATTTGCAGAATTGGTAAGAGATCATTTTGGTAGTCATTTTGAATGAAGCAGTGATCATAAAGTAAAATCGTGCTTGCAATAATCTAGGCAATAATAATAAAATTAAAATGAAGAAAAATAGAACAAAACCAGAAGTTATCGATGAGATGAAAAAATTTCGGCCCTGGCCTTGTAAAATCGATAATTTGCCGAGGGGAAAAAAGTGTGAATTCAGAGCATTTACATACAAAGAAATAATTGAACATGAAGAAAACCACAGGAATGCCATAATCAATAACAAAAACACAAAGGCCCGGTATTTAGAAGTGGATGATTCTTCATGTGATCAAAGTCTAGAACAAAGTATTCCAATTAAAAAATTGGTGATTCAACCGGCTCGGTCATCTAATAATTTTTCCTCAACGAAAGACAACAATGAAGGTGCACTCTTTTTAATCTAATATTTTATTGTATTCCTCTAGGTATTCCTACAAATATTTGCATGAAACTAATTTTTCAAGTTCATATTTTATTTATATTTTAGGCGACAAAAGTCCCTGCTACTAATGCATTCGGCTTCAGTTTTGGCTCCGACTCAAATGCTACAGCTGGCCTAACTGCTAGCATTAATGTCACCACGGCAAGAGAAAGAGGAATCACAACTACAAATCCTAGAACAAATCAAGCACTATTTTCGTTGGGAGCCACCACAAATACCAGCAAACCTGGTAATTTAATTTCAGAATAGTTGGATTTAATTTCTATTCAATACAAATTGCGCATAAATTTTTTCAAAAAACGGACGCTTTTCGATTAGGAAACATCACAACGAATACTAGAACGAATATTACGCGTGCATTACTCTATTACTAATGTTTGGTTCTCCGTCTCCTTCCGTTCTAGCGTCCGTTGGCATAGTAGCTTCAACGACTGGATTATTTGGGGCAGCGAGCACAAGTAACCCGACTTCGACCACACTGACTAGATTTTCAATGCCAGAGACACTAGCAGAGACAAAACAAATCCATTGTGATGTAAGTTTTTTTCGGTGTTTAATTAACACCAAATACAAATACCTAGACAAATACATACTTATGCATATTCAAAAGGAAAGAATTCAATTATATTCACTTTTCGCAGAAAATTTATGGCGATACAAACAAAACGAAACGTGAAAATGAGACCAAGAAACTAGCCAAGACATCTCTTTTGAATGCTCCATCTAATGCAACTAAATTGATCATAGTTGAACCATATAAAAGTAAAAGAAAGGACGTTTCCACATCATCTGCATCCAGTACAACTGTATCAGGCTTTACACTTTCTACAATCGTTTCATCTCATTCGAGCACTATCGCTAGCACTATCGTAACTCCAACCACTACCGCACAAATTGATAAGCCGAAAACAACTAGGAAAATAAGCACTGTGAGTGCAATAAAAACAGTGCCTTCACCAACAGTTACTATTGCTTCAACTTCAACACCGGCAACTACTTTAGACCCCACTTCTCGACCTGAAGGTTTCTCATTTTCGGCTGGTTGGTGGACAACGCTTACATCGACTTTGGCTGCAAGACCTAGTGCAAAACCTATTGCAAAACCGGTCGAAACGGAACTAGCAACGGAAGCCTTGTCAATTCCAAAAGTGGCTAGAAAAGTGGAAGAAACTAAAGACGCATTTGGACTGGCTAAATCAACTGGTAATACCACATTGTCTTCATTTGCTCCACCAAAATTTGGCTCAGACACACAGCTAGACACACAGGCCATAACAGAAACGAGCACAACTCTATCGAGTAGTTTCCCAGCAACTCCTCCCGCATACAATTTTAACAGAGCAACTTCAAAACCATTTGCATTGCCTGCAAAGACAGGAATTCCATTCGGAGTTCCAAGCAGTAGTGTAGCCAGTGCAAACACAAATACACTTGGCACTTCGAGTCTAGCTTCGAGTACAAGCACAGGCCTTTTTGGATTTGGGGCTCAATCAATCACTGTTCCAGCCGCGACAAGCACCCCTGCTACCATTGACTTCGTTTTTAGTTCCGGTTCGAATGCTACGGCCACAACGGCTCCCACATTCGGACTAACAGACACCAATTTTCTACCCAATTTTACCACGGTAAGTGGAAGCACAACGTCAAACCAAGCATCATTTTCGTTTAGAGATACAACCATTGAATATGATAGCGCTCCAGTTCGTAATTGCAGCCAAACAAAATTTCACCTAAAACTTCACCTAGATTCTTACGGAGACAAATCCATTGTGATGTAAGTTTTTTCTTTTTTACAAATACTTATGTATATTCAATTAAATTCACTTTTCATAGAAAATTGATGGCGATGCAAACAAAAAGAAACGAGGAGATGCATTGAATGATTCGGGTCAAACGGTTGCTTCATCGAAGCTTGTATCAAATCGAACCAGTCTAGAAACCAGTCCATCGACTAGTGCTCAAAAGAAGCTGTACAAAACTGTTGATATACCAAGTTCGTTGAGTTCACCTGAACAAAGCCAACTCATACCAAATGCAACACCACATAAACCTAGACATAAACTTCTTCCTAGACTTCTTCGTTCTGGGCGGAATTACAATGAAAAGCCTGATAAATCAATTCCTAGGGGCTTTTAAGTCAAAATATACATTCTTATTTGTGTGAATATTTCGTGAATATTGCATATAATCCGTGTATATTATTCACCATATTCACAGAATATACACAGCATGTAAAAAATATGTGTTTACGGCAATGTAGAATCTTTGTTACCGATCGTGAATATGAGGTGTATATTTCATGAATATCGTGTATATTCCGTGAATATGGTGCATATTTTGCCAGCATTGTGAATATTTCGTATGACTGTCATATATGGTGTATATTTCTTGGATGGAATATACATGGAAGCCCCTAGATCAATTCGTTTCGTTACAAGTGACAGCCTATGTGACAGCTCATCAACGAATCCCCCTTTGTGTGTAGTATCTTCAACATTTAGTACAGTGACCACTACAACGAAATTACTAGCGAAAATAGCCAAGACATCACTTTTGAATGCACCATCTAATGCAACCAAATCGATCTCTAATACGGGCCTAGAATCGACCATGCTTGAAACGTCTGAAAATGCTAGAAAAAATGATCCCACAACAAAAGCTACAAATATTCTAATCAATGATCTATTGGAAGCAAAGAAAACTTATGAAATTCGTAAAGGTAAAGAAGAAAATGAACCACTACCGACACATAGACCGACACATCCTAGACATCGTATGAGTATCCGAAATTGCTAGCGAAATTGAATCAATTCTAGAATCAATTAAATGCAAAACCTTTGAACATTTATTCGTTCTGGTCTACAGAAACACCTTACGGAAGAATATCGTGGGGAGTGAGACCAAACAAAAAGCTCAGTCGAGCTAAGTATTCAAAGAATAATCATTTTTTTGTTCAAATAAAAAGACTCGTACAAACAAATCAATATTGCTTTTGTTTATTTCATTTTTGAGGTTAGATCAGCTATATGACATAAGAATTCGTGACAGCAAACTTGACACATTACATTCTCAGAGTTTTACTAGGAGTTTTATCAACGCGACTAACAACGCGATCAACAGCGATTTAAAAAATAAATATATTAATAAAATAAAAATATCACCTAACATTTCACATTTTTACATTTTTGTGGTTTCAAAAGACACGCTATTTGATTTCAACTATCGAAAATGGTAAATAAACTCAAAATACTAACAAAGATAATTTGAACGCGTGAGCATAAAAACGACTTATTAAACAATCGCCGAACAAAACGATACAAGAAAAAACTACCAAACAAAACACACGTTAAAAACGTAACACAGCAGGACGGTACCGTTCAAAACGAAACTCCGCTGTGCTACACATTACCGCTGTGGTACGTTTTGTTCGGTAGTTTTTTCTTGTATCGTTTTGTTCGGCGATTGTTTAATAAGTCGTTTTTATGCTCACGGGTTCATTTGTGTCATCTTTCTGTTTTGAAACTTCATCTTTGATTTTTTTTCAATATTATATAGGAATTTTCCAGAGAATTTTGGATATCTGTTGAAGAAGTGATAAAAATAAAGATACCAGAAAGTGTAAAAGTCATATTAAATGCGTGTGCATATGATAACAGTTTAAGCTTCGAATGCTTGAACGAAAGTTCCGTGATAGCAATGGAAAATTTTGTAAACAATGATTCAGACAATAATCTACGAAACGCTATGGAAACTAGTCTGGAAAAAACCAATTGCTCTCATCGTCATATGTATCTTTCTCTGATGGCTGATAACCGATTCAGATATCTACCCGGACACCGAGCACTCATAGTGGAAATGAGTAGAATATATTCAACAAATAAAATCGCTAACGAAACCAATAGCGAAATCACTTCTACTCCAGTTACATCAGGTTTGGTAACAAGCCCAGCTACATCTAGAGCTACATCTAGTTCTACAGTTACTGACGCCAATACTAGTGAAGCCGTACCTAGAGCCATACCGACTAGCATACCGAACTCAAATCTACATTCAAATTTGTTAGCTGAATTGATAAAAATGGCAAATATCAATCGTGGAAAGTTACCCAATTCTAAAAGATATTCCAAAATCATTCAATATTTTGCCATGTATATGTACATGGTATGTGGGAAATATAGCTACGAGATCATTTGCAATAATTTACCTATGCCAGCCCCATCAACAGTCTGTGAGTTAACTTCGCACTTGCTTGGTTATTCCTAGGGTTATTATTAGGAATTCACTAGGGAATGCAATAATAACAATGCAACAAAGAATTCTTAGTTCCAAGTCCAGTTGCTGAAAGAATTTAAATCTTTCGTTTAAGCCGAGAAAAAAATGATATTTCATTTAAAAGGTTAAGTGATTTCGTACATGAAATTCTCTATAAAATTCTTTGTCGCACTGTTTTACTTCAAGAAGATTATTTCCTAGATTATTTATAGTATGATTTACAGTTTAATAAATAAAGAAATATTATAAATTTTTTCACAGTGGGCTACATACAAGGAAATAAAGTTCGAGTCAGTGAGGGTCAGTTAAGATGCGATGAATTAAAGCAATATTTAATGAAAATTAAGGCACCGTTATGTGTGTGGCTTTCCGAAGATGCCTCTGGCATAGTTCGCAAAGTTGATTTTGAGTCTAGCTCCAATCAGTTAGTCGGACTGACATTACCAATCGATCAGTTAACTGGAATGCCAAAATCACAGTCATTTATTGTAAATTCAATTCAAGAAATCGAAGAGCACATGAAAAATACAAAATCGACGCTCATTTATATGATAATGGCTCAATTCTGCAAGCTAGTCTGCAAGACTGTCTTCTGGGAAATGCCAGACCAATCACACCATCAACAAATCCTAGAACAAATCTAGCAACAAATGCAGGTGGTCCAAATCGACAGACTAATCGACAAAATGAAGAACATTTGGTGAATATTCCTTTTCCTTGGGAATATGTCCGGGGCCAAACATTGCTCATGATCGAAGTGAGAGACAACCAGCTACTCATGCGTTTTCGGAGAAATCGAAGAAATGGTTCCGGAACTAGTTCCGGAAATAGTCAACAGCCCAGACGCTAGCTCTAGCGCTATCTCAGTTGGCAATTTTGCTAGCAATTTTGTCGCCAATAATCTGACAAATATTTTCCGTTCCGTTATTGTTGTTTATTACATTTTACTTTTTCGCAGGTCCATGTCGTGGACTGCGTAAAAGTATTGCATTTGGCCCAAATTTTAAGACACCCCAAAAATATGATTTCTCTCCGTTTTCGAGGCCGTAGAACACGAAAAAAATGGGTTTTAGAGCGATGTTTTGTGAGTCTGTTCCACGTCGTACGTTGTACGCAAATTTTTTAATGTAATTTGTTAACACGATAGCTCAACGACCAGTCGAGATAAATGAGATCTGGTGATGGCAAAAGTTTGGGCTTGTTTAAACTTAGAAACCATTAGATTTTCACCCACTTCAGATATAGCCTAGGATAACCTAGCCTATGGCCAACCTTTGAAAATCCCTGAAAATTCATACTTTTCTATGGAAGATACCTAAAATAGCCCCCATGGTTTTCATCATATCAAACTGCTATTATTTTATCAAAATATTGAGATTTAGAGAGCAAGATTATATCATTTTCCCATGATTTCAGTCAGAGACTGAAATTTCAAATTTTAAGAAGATTCCGATTTGAAGAAAAATCGATTATACAGGCAAACGCACACCTTGCTTATTTCATGTTATTGAGTCATGTGTTGTTACACTAACAGTCGAGCTAAATAGATTTATTTAGCTGAATCTACAATTTCGTAAAAATAACAGTAATCGCATCATCGATAGTCGCTTATGAGTCATAACAAAAGAACTAATAAATTAAAATCGGCGGTGTTCCGAATTCCATGGAAACAATAATTGGAATTTGCCACATTAATGATTTACATTGAATTTAATTTACACAAATAGTGCAACCCGCCCTAGCTCATTTATTTTACTTATTTTGCCATTTTTACTTTTTTTAATTTTTATCTAATTGATTCAAACATAAAAATCAAAACCAAAGACCAACATAAAACAGAAAAACCCGTCATTGTGGTTTTTATTCAGAATTTTCCACATAATAATTAAATTCGAACAACTAAAATTATCATACATATATGCTGAAAAGTCACAAGACTGAAACTCATAAAATGAAAACTTTGTAAATATTGTAGGTATATAAACAAAAAATTTCACCTCTAATAAACACATTATATTACAAATCGGCGGTCAGTTTTCTTGCAGCCGAATGATTACTTATTCGAAATATAAACAAAAACTGATACCGTTAAGGCGAAATGAGTTTTTGTTGCTTGTGTATAATGCGAAATATCGAGAAAATAAAGTTGAGAACTGTGAAAATAAAGAAATAGAATGACTCAACTTCAAAATTTTATTTCCACATATAAAAAATTAACATCCCGATTTTGAAATTAGAGCAGCACTTTTCAATTTAGAGGATCCCGAATCTGGTAGAAGATCCCGAAATTCTAGTCTCTGATTTCAGTATCAAATTCGAATTTGTAGGTGAAAATATTGAAAATTTCCGAAATGGTCACACTTTGCGTACAAAATCGGTCATAGCTCACAAACTAACCACCTTATAAAGATTATTGGCAACTATATATCACTTAATTTTTTATGAAGAATCGATTTCCAGTTCAATCGACCGTATCTGAAGTCTCAATGGGGTCAAAAATGCAATTGTTCGCGGTGATATTTTCAACTCGCAATATTTTTTCCACTTGGAATAGAATTTTTGTGCATAAAGCTTGCAAAACGCATACGATTCAGAAATTTCATCTCGCAAACTCCAGTCTTTGTTATAAAATGACAGTGCTATTTGAATAACATAATATTTATTTCTCTACGGCTTTGGTATCATTTCTACATTTTCGTTCCAAATCCCTTGGAAAATACCACTTTTGTATGAAAGTTAAAAGAAACGTTTGAATTCATTTTAATCCAACATTTGAGCATTTTTCCAAAAGCCGTGACGCGATAATTTCTAAATATCACTAGTTTTAAAGGGCATTTTAATATTAAGAAATAATTTTTTTAATCATCGATATCTAAATTTTATACGAATGAATACAAACATGACTTTCATTTGAAAGATCTGATTTTAAATCAAACCATTTGAAATAGTTCTGTATGTTTTGATAAATTATTTGTAATTTTATTATTTATTATTTTATTTGGATTGATTGTGAAACAGATCACTGAATATAGAGTATTTGGATCCCACTGCGAAAAAGTTCGTCTTACTACGGTAAGACCATTTATTTATTTTCTAATTGAATTAAGTCTAAGTTACCGTCCAGGTTATCGTATAAAGCCTAGTATAAAGCAAAAAAGTGTATTCTATCCAGAACAACAGAAATTCTACCAGAATCAAACTAGTAAATAACTAACTAGATAACTAAGCGAATAAAAGAACTAGTAAAAGAAATAATATACAAACGCAAAATTTGTTGTAGCATTTTTCACTTAATTTTTCAGTTTATTAACGTCTTTGCTAAAGTCTTTGGTACTAGCTTTGGTTCTAGTACGATTTATTGATATGCTAACGTCAATGTTTGGCACAATGTTTGGCGGCAATGAAACGTCAAACCTAGCGTCAAACATGCACAAGCGTTTGAACTCTAGTTTAGTTCCTACTTTAAAATTAATCTAGAAATTAATATCATACATCATATGAATGGGCAAGCGGAATAATGAAAC